CCCCTCCCACCTCCCTCCCATCCCATCCCTCAGGGTTGTCCCAGTGCACCAGCACTGAGCACCCTGTCTCATGCATGGAACCTGGACTGGCAATCTATTTCACATCTGGTAATGTACATGTTTCAATGCTATTCTCTCAAATCATCCTACCCTCGCCTTCTTCCACAGAGTCCAAAAGTCTGTTCTTTACATTTATGTCTCTTTTGCTGTTTCACATATAGGGTCATCGCTACCATCTTTCTGAATTCCATATATATGTGTTAGTATACTGTATTGGTGTTTTTCTTTCTGACTTACTTCACTCTGTATAATAGGCTCCAGTTTCATCCACCTCATTAGAACTGATCCAAATGCATTCTTTTTAATAGCTGAGTAATATTCCATTGTGTATATGTACCATGACTTTCTTATCCATTCATCTGGCAATAGATATCTAGGATGCTTCCATGTCCTAGCTATTGTAAACAGTGCTGCAATGAAAATTGGGGTACACATGTCTCTTTCAATTCTGGTTTCCTTAGTCTGTATGCCCAGCAGTGGGATTGCTGAGTCGTATGGCAGTTCTATTTCTAGTTTTTTAAGGAATTCCGGAGAAGACTCTTGAGAGTCTTTTGGACAGCAAGGAGATTAAACTAGCCCATCCTGAAGGAAATCAACCCTGAATATTCATTGGAAGGACTGATGCTGAAACCGAAGTTCAATACTTTGACTACCTGATGCAAAGAGCTGACTTATTGGAAAAGACCCTGATGTTGGGAAAGATTGAAGGCAAAAGGAAAAGGGGGTGGTAGAGGATGAGACGGTTGGATGGCATCACCAACTCAATGGACATGAATCTGAGCATGGTAATAAAGGACAGAGGAGCCTGGTGTGCTGCAGTCCATGGAGTTGCAAATAGTCAGACATGACTTAGCAACTAAACAACAACAATGAAAGAGAAATTAACAGCAGCAATTTGCCTGAACAGAATGTATGCTTTGACACATTCTGCAGCCTTATAACAAGCAAGGGCTTTATTGCCACTTTCAGTTTTCTAACAGATGAGAAGACAGAACCAGAACAGGCTAAGATTCACAGAAAAGAATATTAGAAAGCATCCCTAAATGAATAAAAAGGACTAAACATGCACTGAAACTCAAAAGCAAGAGAGTAATTTCTCTGAGCCTACAGATACTGGATAATCAAATCAGTTGTCTCTTGGATACCTTATGTAAGGTATCCAAGCAACTTATTCAGAAAGTTGCTTAGTTGCTGTGAAATGAGGCTTACCTTCCCAAATTTCATTTCCAAACTTAAATTTGAACCTGGAATAAAATTTAATTCCTCACTCACCATGCTATGCATCTGTTGGAAAAAAAATTGAAACCGATTTTCTATCATACAGCAAAATCAATGCCAATTCATCCTGATGTTTCTAATCAGCATGTTTTATTTTCTTCTCTGTTCCCATAACTTATAATTATTTGTGGTGCTCTCCAAACAAACCTTTCTGTTCTTCTCCTTAGTGCCTCCTTCTGGCTTGCAATTTATATATTTGGAAGTCATTTAAGGTTGGAGATCCCTGATCTATTACCAAGCAATTTTGGGGGGTCTTTAAGACCTCCTGCCATTTAAAAATATAGAGCTCTGACTCTTGGGCTCTCATAATTCAGGCACAGTGTTTGAAAGAAAAGGTTAAATTCTTAGTTAGAGGGTAAACACAGAGCCATACAATTTCTTAATTTGGGTTTTGAGAAAACAAATCATTGTCTTAGTGCCATTGCTGTTCCCTGCTAAAATAATTTCCACAAATGCCGGAGGACTAAAATATTTGATTCTTGCTCAGAAATCTCATCCAATAATTTGACATTGGCACTCTCCCTCCTGGGCCTTCAGCACGAGGCTGCTTCTTACCCAGCCCTGCCATTCCCCCATTCTTGATCCCTTTGGGATTGTTTAAAATATATGGGCGTATTTTCAACTTGAAAATATTGCAAGCATTTCCAATAAGTTTTTACAATTACTGAGGTTTGAGCTTTGGAGAACAGACTTCTTAAGGGCACCAGCCCATGGAACTTCTTGAGAAAGCAGCCAGTCTTCATGCACCTAAAATACTGGGGCTAGCGTTGGGCTGACACTAAATGTTATGTCCGTGGCAAACTCAGTCCAGAATTTTCCTCATTAATTTAATCTCTTTCTTAATCTGAACAATGCAAGTTCTAGGGGTAGCGGCCTCAAAACTAAGAAGCCAGGCAACCTCCAGTGCTTAATTTCATCAGCTATGTGGTTGAATCAAAAGATAGCACAAAGACTCAAAAACACACTCAGAGCAAATTAATCCAGTGCAAATAAGTGAGTGGGTTGGATTAACCTCTTTACCTCCGACTATAGTGGACCCAGGTGATGCGAATTGGTAATATACTTTCCCATTACATTTGTTCCCAGTGCTAAGTGGAGGAATGTAATTTTGTGGTCTCTCAAGCCATTCAACACCACTGCTTCTTGGCTAACAGAAAAATGCATTTCCTGTGGCAGTCATGTCTCTATCCCACTGGACTGGGTTTGCACAACTAAGAGGAAAAGCCCCACAAACTTGGGAGATGCTGCACAGACCTTAGGTTTTCATTCTATCTTCAGTTTTTCTCCACTGCATCTCCAAAAATGTCAAGGAGTGTTGTGAAATCCTCCAAACAAAACTGATTTTAATTGTCTAGAGTCAAAAATAAACATAAGCAATTAGGAGGGGGCAGGGGACAAGTGAGGGAAACGTTGTGAAATTACTTTTCCATCCTAGGTGGTCATGACGCCCCCAGATTAAGGGACGATGTGTCGGAACCACCACCTAAAGATTTATTTATCCCCTGGAGAGATGTCAGGACTAGCAAATGGACTCACCACGGGAAGGAGGGGCTGATGGAACCGGGTGAGGAGGAAAGGAAAGCAACATGCTGGGAGTCGCATCAGAAATGACTTGGAAGGTAAGATGGCAGCAAGAATAGCGCGAGGATGGGGTTTTGAGAAGAAATTTCTCCAAAGGTGGAACCTTGAGGGTAGAAGACTTTGAGGAGAGCGTTAGAAAGGATGCTATGTCCCTTCTCTTAATTCTGGCCACCCGGAGACCTTTGAGAAGGAATGAGCTTTGTCAGTCAACCCAAAATAGAGATACTATAAATTGAAGTGTCCCACTTCCCCATATCCTTTCTCCTTTATTTCTTTCTGCAGATGAAAGTGATTGCTAAAGAGAGGCTTTACAAAGAAGCATTTTAACACATAGACTGTAACTTCAGGAAGTGCCGTAAAGCCGCTTTATTAAAGACAGAGACAGCTTCACTTGCTCTGTTTCACCTTCAGAAGGGTTTCCTGGGGTCTGACCGGAGCTGAGGACAGGGCAGGTATCCCACCAGGATATCCCCAGAGGGCATAGCAACCATACTCCATTTTGATTGGTTGAAACCAGTTATTAAATATTTGTGTTATTGCTATTGTGGTTTTACAGTATCTTTGAGATGGTGAGGCTTGAAACAAAAGTAAACAAAATGAGGGACACTTATTTTCCAGGAAGAACTTGTGTTGGAAGCATTGTTCCACTACTAACAGTGGGAATTTAAGTTTCAGACTCTTTCCTCCCCTCTTCCTCTTACCCACAATGACATATAGCATCACAGGTAACTTGAACAATGTCAACCAATAAACTCTCCAGCTGAATGCCACCAGGCTCTCTTGTCCATTGGTCACTTTTCAAAGACTTTTCAGAAAGAAACCAAGCAATAAATATCAATCTAGTGGGGGACAACGGAGAAGGCAATGGCACCCCACTCCAGTACTCTTGCCTGGAAAATCCCATGAATGGAGGTGCCTGGTAGGCTGCAGTCCATGGGGTCACTAGGAGTTGGACATGACTGAGCGACTTCACTTTCACTTCTCACTTTCATGCATTGGAGAAGGAAATGGCAACCCACTCCAGTGTTCTTGCCTGGAGAATCCCAGGGAAGGGGGGAGCCTGGTGGGCTGCCGTCTATGGGGTTGCACAGAGTCAGACACGACTGAAGCGACTTAGCAGCAGCAGCAGCCGTGGGGGACGTATCTTCAGAGGCCTTTGCCTTTAAGATAAACTTTCTTAAGTGAGCATTTAGATCCCTTTCTTAGCTCACATGGGCACTGAAGTTTGCAAGGCATTGCTATTCTCATCAAATATACAATGCCATTAATAAGGAGATAATAAACTTCCACTTATGCCTGTTGAAGTATCAGTTCCTAACAAATCATCCAGTTCCCCTTTATATCTTTGCCCTTTCAAGTCTGATAAGGATCGCTCATCAATTATGTACTTCTCCCTCCTGAGAGGGAGACTCCTTTGCCTGTAAGACCAGAGAAAAATTTATTCCCCGAGATGAGCTGAGATTTCTGTGTTCTCAAGTTAGTTTCTTCCATGTTCTTAAGGAGAATTTTTAAAGTTCAATTTCACAGTCTATTTGTATTTTACTGTGATGTCGCCATGTGTTGCTTGCATGTTTGTATTTGTGTTAAAAGCCCTTTAGATGATTAGATGTAAAACCTTATAAATGCAGGATAGCTGTCTTCACATTTTGAAAGACTTTCCTATTAAAGGGGCACTGGATTTAATCTCTGCTGCTCCAGGAAAAAAAGAAGAAGAGAAATGAAACCAAAGAACAGAGTCTACAGGAATAGAATTCTTTTCAGAAATAAGAATTTCCCTTAATCGTTTAAGCTACTGAAAAATGGAACCACCTGCTTCAGAACACTGCAGCCAGTTTCCGGCACTGGAAGAAGACTCCCCTACCACAGTGTTTCAGGAGACTGGAGGTCATTCACGAGGGAAGTAAAATAGGGGCTCAGCTCCAAATGTCTACATGGTACTTTCCAACTGAAAAGCCAGTGGGAACTCCCAACTGTGAGGAGTCGCTCCATTCCCTGGAACACAGCACACTCAGCATCACACGCGCTTTCCTTTACTCCCCTTGTGTGGCCAGTCCCTTCAGCCGTGTCCCGCTCTTCATCCCATGGGCTGCAGCCCGCCAGGCTCCTCTGTCCATGGGGTTCTCCAGGCAAGAATGCCGGAGTGGGTTGCCATGCCCTCCTCCAGGGGACCTTCCCGACCCAGGATCGAACCCAACCCAGGGATCAAACCTGAGTCTCTGTACCTCCTGCATTGCAGGTGGATTCTTTACCCACTGAGTCATCAGGGGAGTGCCTTTGTCATATTTATTTCTTGTCAACTTTTAGAGAAAAAAAAGAATGAAGAAAGGAAGGAAGGAGGGAAGGCAGAGAACAGGGAGGGGGGATTCAAGGATGAATGTTAGCTAGTGTCCCCTAAACCAGCAACTCCACCCACTCCTCCCCATATCCCCCTAGAGACCAAAATGATCATGTATCATTCCCTTTTGTTAAAAAGATTTTCTAGGTAGATGTTCATCCATTAAAATACCCCAGTCCCGCCCCCCACCCCCCCACACACATACACTGTATATGGGTGTTTTTTGGGGTTTTTTGCCGTGACCCATGGGATCTTAGTTCCCTGACCAGGGACTGAACCCAGGCCTAGCAGTAAAAGCTTTAAATCATAACCACTAGATCACCAGGGGAATATCTCCTATTTTTGTTTTTTAAACATTATCATCTTCATATATCCCATCAATCTGCATCTTGTTTTTTATACTCTACCTTATGTTTTTAATATCTTTTAATAATGATATATATCAGTTTTATTATTTTTAATTGCTTTATTGTATTTCATTGTGGGAAAATATCACATTCTATTTGTTTATTCCTATATTGAGGGGTGTTTCCATCATTCCCCTTTTTTCTGCTGTTTCAAACAATGCTGTAACACAGGGACCCCAATCTCTGGGATCTAATGCGTAATCATCTGAGGTGGAGCTCATGTAATAATAATAGCAATAAAGTGCACAATAAATGTCATGTTCTTGAATTATCCCGAAACCACCTCACCCTTGCCCATGGAAAAACTGTCTTCCATGAAACCAGCGCCTGTTGGCAAAGAAGTTCAGGATTGCTGCGTAACAGACACACTGCATATAAGGTGCTTACGAACCACTCAGAAGATTGTCTATTGTGCATCCCAGAGCATAATTTCTAGGCCACAGGGAAAGCAGATTTTCCTAAGTGCACCAAACTTCCCTCCAAAATGTCTTTACCAATTCACATTTTCAGCAACAATTTACCATTTCCCCTATAAACTTGCCAACATTTGAGACAGACTGATTACTTAATTTTGCAAATACAATGGTTTTTCATTGTTCTTTTTATTGGCCTTCTCTGTGTTTGAGCACCTTTTGTTTGTTTGTTTTTTATTTGTTGACCATTCACATTTCCTCTTTGGACAATTCATTTGTTTTCCTACTTTTGTTTTCCTTATTATGTGTTTTACTAGTTCCTAGTCTATTAAACGTCTCCTAGTATATTTTTAATCTTTTGTCAATCATGTTTATAGGTTCTTCTGTACAGAGTTTTAAAATTTGAAGCATTTGAACTTATCTTTTTCTTTATTGTTTGGGGATTTATAGATTATTTTTTAAAGGTTTACTCTTAAGATCATGTAGATGTTGTCCTATTTTTTAATAATTTTTCACATGTAGATTTATAATCTGTCTGGTGTGTGTGTATATGGTTTGAAGTAGGGATCTAATTGCATTTATTTCACTCTTCCCTCTTCTCTCCCCCATTTTCCAATCTCATGAGATTTTTCTGAGATAGATTTTGCCACTCCAGAGCTGGCCTGTCCCTGTCTTCATGTAATCATGTCTAGAACACATTTTCTTGTGTGTCAGAAGGTGACAAGGTGATACAGTTCCAACTACACTCACAGTGTGGTACATTCAGGTGTATCAAAAGTGGAATGAAGCATGGAATTATAGACAGAAGTCCGGACATGTCATTCAAGTAGTGTGCACATGTTATTCTACTTGACTGGCACAGACCCTGTCCCACATGTACCCAGTATAGATGTTATGGGATGAAATATGCCCCTCCAGCAAACTCATATGCTGAAGCCTTGGTTTGCCATTCCCTTCTCCAGTGGACCACGCTTTGTCATGCTTTGTGAGAAAATACATTGCCATTGTTTAAGTCCCTCAGTCTGTGGTACTTTTTTTGGCAGTCCTAGACAACTAATACAAGAGGATAATCCCCAACAAAAATGAACAGAAGATCCCTGTAATCAGATACAAATAGATGTAAACTTTAAAAAATTTTTTTAATTTACTTTTTAGTTGAAGGACGATTGCTTTACAGAATTTTGTTTTCTGTCAGACCTCAACATGAATCAGGCATAGAGGTTTAAACTTCTTAACATTGATTTTTCATTTAGCATACTGAAAAGTATGTGAACAATTCATACATAAGTTCACCCAAACAAAGGAATGCAGCCAAGGAAACTGTATGAAGGTCCAGATGGAGCAGTAATTTATTTGTCAATAAGTCAGTTCTCCTCCAAACTAGCATGCAGGATCTGACCAATCACAACATCTTGTGTTAATTTCTTAACACAGACTTAGTGGCTGAGAACAAAGTTATTATCTTAGAGTTGAGAAATCCTAAAATTGAGGCAAGGCTTCATTCCTTCTGGAGGCTGCAGAAGGAAACACATTTCCTTACCTTTTCCAGCTTCTAGAGTCCACCTAGATTCCTTGGGCTGTAGCCCCTTCCTCTACCTTCAAAGGACATCACTCCAACTTTTGTTTCCATTCTCACATCTCCTTTTCAAACTCTGACTCTTCCATCTCCCTCTGTAAAACTGCAAACTACTGTTGTAAGTACACTAGATCCACTCAGCTAATCCAGAATAATATCTTCATCTCAAAATCCTTAACTTGATCACAGGTATGCAGCCCCTTGGGCCATTAAGGAAATGTATGCACAGGTTCCATGGATTAAGATGTGAGCATCTTTTTGAACCATTATTCTGTCTACCACAGTTGCAAAAGAGTTCAATAAAATGATTTTTAAAAGAAAACAAATCTATTATGTTGAAAAGTAAAGGGTTTTAAAAGAATGGAAGTACTGAAAGCCTTCCTGCTTTTCAACTCAACAGAAGGATTTTTAAACTAACTTTTTCAAACTATTAGTACCAGACATCTTTCTAACATCGTTTTAAGTCTTTGTTACACTCAAATGGTGTTGTTTCACTTGATTTTGTTTTGTTAGATTTGAGCCCTTTGTTGAGCTTTTTTCCACATCCAGTTGGATTCCATCTGCCAACGAGCTCATGGGCCTGTTTCCACTTAGAAGATCCTCTTCCTTGTGCGGCCTCAAGGCAGAAGTGTCCCAAACTACTGAAAACACCTTCCTACCCCCAGTTTTCCAGGCAGCTTATGCAACTCCGAGTCAGGCTCCAAGTCAGGAAGGCATTGCTGCTGGGCCCGAGGGAGAGAAACAAACGTTCCTCTGACCCCATGCGATTCCGTCCCTCCGGGTCTCCTGCTATTGGTCCTCTCGGGCAGCTGCAGGCAGCATGCTCTTGCCACCAAGGACCTCCAATGTCACGTGGGCGGACTTGAGTGTCATCCACTGACAACTCTGAATTACAGCCCTGCCTTGGGCACTGAATTTGCAAGAGGCGGAAAGTGCCCCCTGCCAGACAGACCAAGATGAACACACGTGTGCATCCACCGGAAACCTTGCGGGAGTTCCAGGTGTTGGCCTAGCTCACACAGCTGAGAGACAGGAGGAAGGAGAGCTGACTGTTCTGGAAAGCTGCTGCACTCCCAGGGGACACGTGTTAGCACAATTCACTCCCCAGGTGGTAAAGAGAGCATGTTCTTCAAGAGCCACTGCTTGTTCTCCAGAATGGCAAGCTGCCAGGATGATCTGTGTCTCTGTATGGTGACTGTAGACTCCGGTGCAGGTGTGTGCCATGGCCATGGATCAGCATAAGTCTGTCAATCTGCCGAAGGCTGTGCATGTGCCCGTGTGTGTGCTGGGGTGTCTTCATGTGCACATCCTGCTTTCTACTAGGAACCAAGAGCTGCCAGAGGCGTGGAACCTTTTAACTGCCCTTTTAGCCTCTCTCATCTCACTGTGATGCTCCCAGAGGTGTGGGTTTTTGCCCAGCACACCAATCTTCCCAGAAAACTGCCCCTGGGACACTTGGGAAGGCAGGAAATGCCAGAGGGCCTAAATCCCTTTCTGGCTCTATCTCACCCCTCTGCCTGGGGGATGTCCCAGGCCCCTGGGGGAAGCTCCAAGCCCCAAGATGCAGTTGCTCTGGCCTGCATTGCAGGGCCCACACTCACTCTCTCAGCCAGGCAGACACACCCAGGGAGGTGCAGTCACTTTGGCCTAGACCCCGTAGGTGACTTCAGGTGGGCAATTTTTGTCAGGAGGTAACAGCTACTCTGAAGAAGCAGCTGGGGTACAAACTCATGGCATTTTGCAGGTTCTTTCTTTCTTTTTTAAATTCAGTTCAGTTCAGTCCATCAGTTGTGTGCAACTTTTTGTGACCTCATGGACTGCAGCACGCCAGGCTTCCCTGTCTATTACCAACTCCTGGAAGCTTACCCAAACTCATGTCCATCGAGTTGGTGATGCCATACAACCATCTCATCCTCTGTCATCCCCTTCTCCTCCTGCATTCAATCTTTCCCAGCATTAGGGTCTTTCCCAATGAGTCAGTTCTCCGCATCAGGTGGCCAAAGTATTGGAGTTTCAGGTTCAGCATCAATCCTGCCAATGAATATTTAGGACTGATTTCTTTTAGGATTGACTGGTTGGATCTCCTTGCAGTCCGAGGGACTCTCAAGTGAAACTGATAGTCACTCAGTCGTGTCCGATTCTTTTCAACCCCATGGACTATACAGTCCATGGTATTCTCCAGGCCAGAATATTGGAGTGGGTAGTCTTTCCCTTCTTCAGGGGATCTTCCCAACCCAGGGATCAAACCCAGGTATCCCACATTGCAGGCAGATTCTTTACCAGCTGAGCCACAAGGGAAGACCAAGAATACTGGAGTGGAAGAGCCTTCTTCATCACTACAGTTCAAAAGCATTAACTTTATTTTTTGAACAGTTTTAGGGTCAATGAAAAATGGAGCAGAAGGTTAAAAGAGTTGCTTTAAACCCCTGTCCCCACACAGGCATAGTCTCTCCAATGACCAACATCCCCCACCAGATTTCTGCATTTATTACCGTCAATGAGCAGACACTGACGTATCATCACTGGAAGTCCATAGTTTACATAAGGTTTGGTTTTGGTGTTGTATTAGTATATTCTATTGGTTTCAACAAATTCATGACACATATCCACCAAAACAGTATTACTGCCCATTATATACAGAATAGTTTCA